GATGTTTCCTTCAAGGTGACTGGACCACATTTAGCATTACTCGAACCTCTCTCTAGGCTTTTACTCACTCCACCCCCAGGATAAAGGAGTGTATTTGGCTGGTACCTTTGGGAAGAATGAACAAGGCATGTTGGAGTCAGTTCCTCTTTGGAGAGAGACTGACTGCAGAGCACTAGAATTTTCCTCTGCTCCATGCCATCCAACCTAGGCAGACGGAGAGGCAGCCCTGGCCCAACAATTCATGTGACTGGTAGATATGTTCTCTGTTATGGGGTTGAGTATCAGAAAGCCCATCTGCTCTCACCCTAAGCACTAGCATCAACGTAGCCTTTATCAATGATGGAGATGTTTTTGGCCTCCATTCACCACCACCTTGTCTTAATTTACAATTTGTTTAAAACCGGGGCAAAGAAGAATGGTGCTGTTACCAGACTCTCCCAGAAGGGACTAACACATTAACAATGGACCATAAGGTCTTCCTGGTGTCCTGAAGAATTAATATTTAAAATACCACATTGTGAATGTTAACGTCTTACATGCAAAATTTAATTAAAAAAAAAAAAACTTTATGTCTAATAGTTTCTGAATCTCTCCATTTGGGTAACTTTCCTAAGGATGGCAAGTAGGAACAAGTGGTGTTTCTGGCTTTGGCAAATGCCTTGTGACTCCCCGCCTCTTAGAACGAGGAGTCACGTCATCTACTGAGATAACTCACTCATCACTGTACCTTATACATGCTGCCTCCTGGGCGGCAGTAAGGGTGCCTCTGCCTTTTTCAAAGAATATTAATTAGAAGCTTTTATTCTGAATTACAAAAATAATAAGAAATTCACTTTACACACTTGAAAAATACAGGAAAGTATATGTAAATTAGTTTCACCTTCTGAAAATAATGTATATTTTGTGCATTTTCTCCTGCATTTGCATATATAGTTTAAAAATTAAGATTAGTTTTCTACTTTGCTTTTTCTGTTTAACATCATATTGTGAAAATTTCCTCATGTTACTATTCTTCAAAACATGATTTGTAATAGCTTAATAATGTCCCTTTTAATGAACATACCATCATTTATTTAGCCATTGCCCTACTGAAGCATACTTGGGTGGTTATAATTTTTCACTATTATAAACATCGCAATGAGAAACCTTACACATAAATCTTTCTACATCTCTGATCAATTCAAGGTAAATTCCTAGGAGTAGAATTACTGAATCAAAGAACCCACTGATATTAAATACATATGTATTAGATGTTAACTCTGCTCCCAGGTGCAAAGCTCTATCACACAGGCTGTGGTGAAGGCCAAAATAAGTTACCTCGAGGGTAAGGCTCAAAAGGCAAAACTTTCCAGTATGAGAAACCACAACCAACTCCTCCATCTAAGACACCTCTCATGACTTTCCTTCCTGCACTACTGACCTCCAAGGTGTTTGCAGTTATTGTTGTGACGATTCAAAAGGTTATTTCATATAAAATGGCCAGCACAGTGCCTGACACATAAGCTCAAGAAATGTGTTTTCCCTTCTACCACAGCAGAACGACTTCCTCAGTGATGAGGGTACTTTGAACAGTCTAGCTTATCCTGACAGGGAGTTTCCACCCTGAAACAGCAGGAAGTCCATGCAAGTGGGAGGAAAACAACTTACATGTCTCATGATGAGCTTTAACCCTCTGCTTTACGTTCACTCCCAACCCTGGTTTTTAGCCCCATTGTCTCACACAACCCCTACCCAGAGCCTCACTCTGATCCCATACCTGGCAAGGTTTCTACACCTTCTCTTGCACTATCTATCTCTGGCCTCATTCTCTGCCTTCACTCCAACCCTGACAAGCACTCCTGCCTCATTTTGGGTCTAATGCCTCATGCTTCCCTTTACTCTAGATCAGACGTTGGCAAACTTTTTCTGTAAAGGGCCAGACAGTAAATATTTTAGGCTTTGCAGGCCATACAACTACTCAACTCTGCTGTTGTAGCACAAAAGCAGCCATGTACAATACATAAATAAATGAGCAAACGTGTTCCAATAAAACTTTATTTACAAAGTCAGTAGGCTGGATTTGGACACAGGTGTAGGCCCACTATAGGTCAGTGTTTCCCAAAGTGTGGTCCCCAGCCTAGCAGTATCACTCTCAGTTGGGAATCTGTTCAAAATTCTCTGGCCCCTCCTCAGACCTACTGAGCCAGTTTTATAGGCTGGTGGTGGGGGTCAGCCATCTGTTTTAACAAGCTCTCCAGGTGATTCTGCAGTGGGCTGAAGTTTGAAAACTGCTGCAGTAGGGCACAGCCGCCTATGCAGGTCATCTGGTGAGACAAAGGTTCCGAGTCAAAATCCCTATTAGAATTCAAATGAATCGTCCTATTTCCACAAAGTCTGCGCTCCTGAGCATTCAGAAGTTCAGGAACAGGGACTCATCAAACAGGATCCCCAAGCCATCAGTCTAGGGTGGAAGGCCCCTTACGGCCTGAGATCACTTACCCTGGAGATCAATCATTTCTTTTCACACCTGGTGTATCAGTGGAAAATAATTAAGGACAAAACTGCCTCAATCCCAGGGATGTCCTGGTCCTTGCTTTTACAAGTGGCAAAAGTAGACAGCCTCCAGTGCAAAGAAGCCAGAAACCGTTTCAAGTGATCTGATTCCACTCAGCTGTCAGCCCTCCAGGGCAGTCATGAGCCTGATACTCTTCAACATCCCCAAGGCCCAGCTCCATGATCCTATAAAGTTGCTGAATGAAAGGTGAATTTAAACCGCCTACATTCGTACCTGGATTATTGTACTAAGACATAAAATTTGGCACTTCAGTTCTGAAATTATTAAATAAATTAGAAGGGATAGCACAAGAAAGGGAAACAAGTACACACCTACAGCAACCCCCTTCCCATGTAATTCAGGACACAAACACAACTAACCTCATCAGATAAATAACTAAGAAACTAACTAGGGGTACAGCATATCAGTGTTTCCTTACATCTCTTTATCTTCCACTCCCATTTCTACCCCCTACCCCTACCACCACCAGACTGAAGAGAACTGGCCCACAGTAACACTCCTTTAACACACAGCTGCTATCTTCCTACTTGCATGGCTTATTGCTCCACTCCATAACATAACGGAATTCTTACGTGCAGCAGTGGCAAGCAGACCGACAGGATCCCATCCACACTCATGCTGCTTATAAAGTTCTTCTAGTAAGATGCAGAGCTAGTTAGACCCAGTGTCAACAAGACAGAACTATTTGTTGTTTATCCCCAGCCCCCTTGTCCTTCCCTGATTTACTTTAACCCATCTACAGAGATAATATTAGGGAAAATAAACTTTATCACCATGCAGTTGGTATCACAGATGTTCCCTACATAAGAACTGGTGGTTGAAACATGGGTAAAGGATGTTGTAAAGTCAAGATAATCTTTGGTAGTAGTAAGCGGAAAGACCCTGTACTGAAATTTTTCAGAAAGAAAATGTGTCTACTTGTTTTTAAGACAACTCATTCGGAAACTGAACAAGGAATCTGAATAGGCAGATCAGAAAATTAGAGATGACAGTAAACACAGGAAAACAGGCCATCGGAAATGCAAATTAAAACAAGGCACCATTTCTCACCTATAGAACTGGTAAAAATTTTAAAGCTTGGTAACTCCGTGTTACTGAGGATGTGGGGAGCAGGCACGCTTAAATGTCATTGATAGAAATATAAATTAGTGCAAAAATTTCAAAGGCCTAATTTGTACTACTCACCAAATGCACATGCCTTTCACTCAGCAATCCCACTTGTAAAAGTCTATGCTATAGAACTGCACTGTCCAATATGGTAGCCACTGGCCACAAGGTGGCTATTTACATTTAAATAAAAGAAAATTTTAAATTCTGTTCTTCAATTGCCCTAGTCACATTTCCAGTGCTCAACAGCCACGTGTGGCCAGTGGTTACCATACGAGACAGTGCACATGTAGATAATTTGCATCATCACAGAAAGTTCCACTGAGCAATGCTGCTACGGAAATATTCACAGAGTAGACAAAGATAAACAAAGATGTTCGGTGCAGCGTTGTTGTCAAGCACAAAACTGAAGATAGCAAAAGGGGAATAAATAAATTACATCATATTTATACTAACGTATGCAAATAATAACAAATATGAGGCTGACATAGGAACACAGAACAAAAACTCTGGTAATGTTCAATCTGAATGCAGACTACAGAATAAGATGGGCATTTAAAATTCATATATACAAAAATAGATATTTATATAACCTCTAAAGACATTGAAAAATATCTTCAACGATACATACCAAACTGCTAGTAGTGTGGAAGAAAGTGGGATTGGAGAGAGGAATGGGGAATTTTCACTTTTATTAAATTGACTTCTGTACTGACTGAATTTGTTGCAACCAGCATATATTTCTGTATTTAAAAAAAAATAAGAGATTTTCCAAAGTAGTTCTAGTTTAAGAAAAAAAAGATAAATTATCAATAAGCCCTGAAGATATTATAGTCTATTCATTCCTTTTCTAAACTGGTACTTCCATTCTTTGGTTAGAGTTTTTCTAAATTTTGTTATCAAAAATATTTTTCTCACCAACCACTCTGACGGGGATCACAATACAGGATCTTGGACAGAGGGGAAGAAAAATGTAGAACAAGACTCAAATTTGCAAAAAAAGACCACACTTGCTGGTCTGACAGAGACTGGAGGGATCCCCGAGACTATGGCCCTCAGAAACCCTGCAAACTCAGAACTGAAGCCACTCCCAAAGCCCTCTTTCAGCCAAAGATTAGACAGGCCTATAAACCAAACAATAACATGTGTGAGGAATGTGCTTCTTGGTTCAATCAAGTATAAAAGACCAAATGGGCAACACCTGCCCAAAAGCAAAGACAAGAAGGCAGGAAAGGACAGGAAAACTGGATGAATGGACATGGGGAACCTGGGGTGGAAAGAGGGAGTGTGCTGACACATTGCAGGGATTGCAACCAATGTCACCAAACAATCTCTGTATAAATTTTTGAGTAAGAAACTAATTTGCGCTGTAGACTTTCACCTAAAGCATAATAAAATTAAAAATATACATATATATTTTTCTGAGGCCCTGGAAGAGTCACAGACGTGTCTTCCTCTAGCTCTGGCCTCATCCTATCAACATCTCTTCCCTACAGTATTTCCCCTAATGTACTCTTTCCTTTGCCCTATCTTTTGCCCACTCACACTCTCGCTCCTTCTCAAGAAATCTGTTTGCCTTTCTACAAAACTACTAATTGATACTACCCTATCATACGATAGGAAGCAAGTACTTCAGCAGATGTGCTTCTGCCCAGGAAAGTAAAACTTACTATTCTACCCCTCTGCCGACTGCATGAGAGCAATAAACGAGTGAGGTAAACAAAAGTGGAAGGGACAGGCAACAGCATAAGGGGAAATAAAGAGTCTATTATTTTGACTCCTTGACTACTGTAGACATATCATTTCTACATGCAAATCCCACCCATTACGTTATTTTTCAAAACAAACCTAAAACACATCAAATATAAGAAAACCACTCTAGCAAGTCATATGAGCAAAAATGTGATGGATTTATTTTACTCTGATGCAAAAACCAAAGATTCCACTATAGCACAGAGACCAATATATTAAAAGGTCATGAAAAAGCGGTGTGGGACATGCAGGACGTGACGTACAAACTGGAGGACTGGGTCATTTCCTTTATAACAAGACACTATACTGTTATTGAAAAACACATTTAAAATAACATTGAGGAACTGAACTGAAATGTGGCACAAACATGACAACTTCCATGCATGCCTTCAAGTACCTCCCTTAGGATGGACTTGCAATCTCTAGATTTCAGCGTGGGGAGGAGTACGATTCTTTGGAAGAATAGAAAGTTCACACTTTTGAAATTTCACAGAAGAATTTTAAGGCCAAAACATAGTGGGTTGATTTCTCTTCACTTCCAGGGCCAAATCTGCTGCTTTACTCAAAACCACATTAAGCTTCTAGTTCAAATCCCAACCCAACCTTGTGACCTCCTGCACTGAAGTTCTTTCCATCAATCAAAGCTGAAAGGGTCAGTTTGACTCCTACAAAGAAGAAAACACCACAGTCACTTATAACAAGTATTACAATCAGATCTAAATTTTCTAGAAATGATGGATGGGGTCAATGGCATGGATTATTGCTGGGTATAAGAGTTAAAAGCATCCAGCTATTACTAAATGCTACCCGATGTTGTTGTTGTGCCATCAAGTGGATTCTGACTCACAGCAACACTACATGACAGAACAGAACTGCCTCATTGGGTTTCCTAGGCTGTAATCTTTACAGGAACAGATCGCCAGGTCTTTTCTCCTGCGGAGCTGCTGGTGGGTTCAAACCTCCGACCTTCCAGTTAGCAGCTGAGCACTTAACCACTGCACCACCAAGCCAAAAACCAAACACATTGCTGTCAATTCCAACTCATAGCAAACTTACAGGACAGAGTACAACTGCACCATAGGGTTTCCAAGGCTGTAATCTTTACAGAAGCAGACTGCCACATCTTTCTCCTGTGGAGTGGCTGGTGGATTCGAATTGCTAACCTTTAGGTTAGCAGCTGAGCACTTAACTACTGCGCCACCAGGGCTCCTTAAATCTACATAAGGTTATCTACAATCATCTGATCTGCAATGAATAACACAGATCATGGCAAACTTTATTTGGAGTTCAGAACAATGAATGATTAACCAAACCCACAAGCCAGAGCAACCAAAACACAAGTTGGAAATACATAAATATTTTTTAATCAAAAGTTTGTGATCTGTTTTACTTTCTTTCTGAACAACCAAATGTTACAAGATGGTCTGAATCAACCCACAGTGAAAATTATTTCCATTATTCACCTATCTCCTTTTACCCCAATCCCACTGTTATTAATTCCTTTACTTACCTGGTCGAAGGGTCTGAGTATAACCAAGTCCAATCAGGCTGGCATTATTTACTTTAGCCTAAGATTTGGAGATAGAATAGAAACAGAGAACAATCAATTTCTTAATAGATAAGTCCAATCACTTCATGCATCAGGTTTCCGAAGCTACACCTTAGGGCCAATATAATTACTGAAAGTGAATTTTAATAAAAAAAAAGATAAGCCTTTAAAAAGTCAATTAGAAGTGGTAGGGATGGCGGAGGCCTTGAGAATGCATGCTTAGAGTTCTCGAACAAATTTCTTAAAAACACTGTGCAGCCAAACACCCCTATGCACTGAGTTCTTTGAGATGCCAGTTTATAACCTCTGACAGTGGTTAGAGCACAGACTCTGGTAACAAACAGACTTGAATTCAAATCTATGGCACTGTCACTTAATGGGTTACCTCGGGCAAGTTACCTGACCTCTCTAAGCCTCAGTTCCCTCATCTGTAAAAAGGGGATGAGGATAACACTACTCACCACATAGAGTAGTTGTGAGGAATAAATGAGATAATATACGTAAAGCCCTTAGCACAGTACCTGAAATTTAAGAGCTCAATTAGTGTAATTATTAATAAGAACTAATAGCAACAGGAATAGTAATCAAATCCCTTGAATTTACAGATAAGAAAATTTTGAAGCCAAAGAGATAAAATGACTTGAAACGGTCAGACAACAGCCAAATACTGGAGGAGGTGGAACCAAAACCCACATTTCCTGACTTCAAGTGTAATACTATTTCACTACACAATGAGCTAGCTTATTAAAATAAAGAGCATGTAAACTACAACCATATCATCACATTCATTTACAACTTAGATGGAAACCCAAGAGCAGATCCACTCTGGTAGCACATTCTTACAGATAGAGAAGTTCTACAATCCAACTTGTATTTAGCAGCAATGCCAAAACGAGTGTTGTTACTCCCAGCTGTCCAAGCAAGGTTTATTGAAGTTTCAATTTTCTCATTAACCTTCTGGTAGATAGACCCTCCAAATTCAGTGCCATCATTCCTGTTTTCAAGAAAATGGAAAAAGTTATAAATATCTAATTTATACCATTCCTATGATATGGAAACAAATTCTAAGACTATCTAAACAAGGATCCCATCTTGCAACTGCAAATTTCAGCAAACTTCCAGCATAAATGACTACTAAAAAGACAACTAAATGCATTCATTTTTTATAACTGCCTAATTCAAATACAGTAACAACTGATTCATTTACTTGGGTCCTCCACATGATGTAAATTTCTTAAGAAAATTCAATTATGCACAAAGGCAGACACCTCAGGCAAATATGACCTATAAATCTCTGAGATTTTCATAGAATTTAGAGACTTCAAAGTAGAATTCATAAAGATTCTGTAAAAAACAAGCAAACAAAACCGACAGAGGTATGGGTACAGGAGTAAAGCCAATCCTGGCTTTCATTTACAACACAATTCTAGCATTAGAAAGCACCCTCTCTATAATACCTAGACTGCACTGCTCCAGAGAAGTACATGGAGTATTGCTTCAAAGCACCCCAGAATTTAATCCGAGTTTTTACAGTTTTCCTGACAATATTGCTTCATCAATATCAATGCCTCTGTCTACACCACTAAATTAGAATGTCTAACAGAGAGCTGTCGGTAAAACTGCAAAAACATGTAGCTCACCCTCTGCCTTTTTCTTCCTGGTAGAGCAGTAATACCCAGTAGGCCAAGACATAAAATACAATTTAAAAATTCAGATTCATTCAGCCAACAAGGTGCAGCATAATGGAATCCCAGGACTGCTTTAAGAACTCCTGCTACTTGTAAATGCACTAGGGGAACTGAGTTCTGACCAAGGGTACCTGAAAACCTCCAGAGAACTACTGGGGATGTTCCAGGATGATCAGTCATTCAGTGCTATTCCTGGTTATCCGAACAAACCTGCTTCCAGACACTGCCAAGACGAAGAGGGCACCAGAGGAAGCAGGAACATCTCCGAAGTATCCCTCATATCAGGAGGTAACCCATCCCTAGGTTCTCTCCATCCCTGTGGTTCGATAGATGGGAGAGCTTCTCTGAAGTCTGGAGTAACTGCTGAGAGGCCAGTAACTACCAGCAGTGCGGCACTATGCACCAAGTGTACCTAACCTCCTTGCAAAGTTTTGCTGACTATGAAAACAGTACAATGAGGCTGTGTGTCCGCCAAGGCATATTAGACGCCAAGTACCATCACTTCTAACCTTCTCTACATGCTAACAGCTACCATTTTTTTTGGCAGACTGCACGGGCACTCGCAAAGGAATAAATGATAAGCACTCACACATGAGTGTGCAGCTGGAAATCTGCAGCCTTATAACCCAGGGCAAAATTATTCTGTGACAGTTTGGATTTGGCTGTGTCAAAACTCATCTGATAGCCAGCAAGCCAGCCTTCAAAGGCCAACACAGCCCAGCCATAGATGGTTGGTCCAGAAAAATCTATATCAACATTACTGCCAAGACTGAAACAATCCCGTTTATAGGAGGCCTTCAACTTCCCACTCTTCTTTCTGTAAAAAACAACAAAATAAAAACAACATGAGTTTCTACTACTGTTCAGCAATCTTTACAGTAAGATCCTATTTCCCCTAATTTAAATATTACTTCGGTGGACTGCATATAGAGAGTAAAAATGTTTCAAGTGACTTAGATCTACAAATATAATTTTGCTAGAATCACAAATGTATATACTGGTCTATCTATTCAAATTCAAATGATAGGACACTTCCTCACTAATTTCATCAAGGCATGAAGAAAAGTACAAGGAGGAATAAGGTATTTCAGTGCCAAATTAACAATCTGAAGACAGACATATACAGACATGTGAGAAACCAAATCTCTTTAAATGTTTCCAAATGCTCAAATGTCACAAAAGGTAACACCCAACACACTTCTAAATTATTAACCTGTTATGGAGAGAAGTATACTGTTTTGAAGGACAATACTAAAAACAATTAGTTGTTAATAGTCCATATCCTATTCCAAACAGGTCTCTTATGAGAATATTTGTCCTCAAGATAACTCGAGATTTGTCCTCAAGATGTCCTCAAGTATGCAGCAAGAAGGACACATTCTCTTGTTAGAGCTGAAAGAAATGCCACTTTGTATTCACCTAGCACCTTTTTCCTTTGGATAACAGCAGTCCCTATAAGGCAGATAGGAAGCAACATTATGCCCATTTTATAGATGAGGAAACTGAAGCACAGAAGTCAAGAGATTAACAGAGGCTAAGAAAGCAAATCAATAGCAGAATTACTAGTACAGTGTTCTAGAGCAAGATTACACTCTTAAGAAATTAACTTCTCCACAGAATACCACATTCAGGAATCTTTAGAATACAGTTTAACAAATAGTATGGTCTCAGACCCTTCTAGCTCCTAAACTTTTTCTATTATGTGCCCCTTTGGAAGAGACTTATAAATTTTTTGTTCATCTTTTCAATTTTCAAATCCAAATTTCATCCTGCCTCAAGTGAGTCTTCCTTTATCTTTACTATATACACCAGGCCTCCAGTATTCCTAACAGCAACCGCCTAAGCTCTTCCTGCCTCCAAGCTTTCAAACTGCAACTCCCTATTCGAAAGCTCTCTATCCCTTCAGGCTACAAAAACGTTTTAGAAAGTAGGGTTTGGATAATTACCCTGTGTTCGGAACAAATATGGTATCAAGAGTCAGTTTCAACCCTTCAGCCAACTGAAAAATAAAGATTTAAAATTAACAAATTAGTAATTTTCAATTCTTTTTTCAATTCAAGAAACCAATTCTAAAGTTTCCTCTAATTTCCTATCTAACAAAAAGAGGAAGTCATTAACGGAGGTCACATATTAAAGTATTACATTATATATTAAATCACCTCCCCAGCCTCCCCTCTCCCCTGGCCCTCTGCCTTCATCATGAGTCTCCCACCAAAAGACAGGTTGAAATTTATAGGTCAAATCCTATTACCAAAGATAACATAAATTACAGTACAAAAACAATAAAATTCCAATGCAACAATCTTGTTACTATCTTGAAATTGTTATAATGAAATAACCTGACATTTAACAAGCTAAGCTAAGTAATTTATTTAGCTATACCTGTACTTTGGACATGTTATCAGGAGGGACCAGTCCCTGGAGAAGGACATCATTCTTGGTAAAGTAGAAGGTCAGCAAAAAAGAGGAAGACACTTAGCAAGATGGACTAACACACGGTTGCAACAATGGGCTCAAGCATAACAACTGTGAGGATGATGCAGGACTAAGCATTGTTTCCTTGACAGCACCTAACATGTATACTGTATTTATATGTAATATTGTGCATAGTGACACAGATCAAAAAATAGTGCTCCGTACACAGCAGGCACTTGACAAATACCTACTGATAGACTTTGCCTTTGAAAACATTACAGAATTTTAGAAACATTTTTCGGTGGGGCCGATTTTGCAATGATAACAAAACAAAATCAATGCAAACAGTCTGCTCTACCCAGAGAGGCTCAGCTGTATTAAAGAATAAGTAGAACGGGTCAGAACAAAGATGCAGTGTGATAATTAGTGTACTCACAAACAAAGCCTTACTTTTTAGAAACAAGAAAACATACCAAATAGGGCCACATGTAGATATGTTGTAACATCTCATCCAGTTTGATCATCACAGCATCTGTAAAATGTATTTAACCTACAAATAACTTCTAGTGTTTTTTCTTACCTTATTCTCCAAAGAGATTTCTGTTCCAAGAGTATTGTCTGTGTTCCATTTTTGGGTGAAGGTAAGTCCATAATTACAGACCTTATACTTGGTCTCTAGGTTGCCTGATGCTTTCCCTGTATCGGTGTAAGCATGACCAGAAGTAGAAAATTCCTGGTGAGCAAGAAAAAATAATTACCTTAAAATTAGCTCATCAAATAAAAAATTCACTTCAGAAATCAGTGCTGGACGGATCAGAAACCAATACAATTTACTCTTTACGATGACAACTTATTTCCTGCTTTCCTTCTTTACAATGGAAATGGAAAGGTTAAACCAGTTCTAGATCTTTCCATTACTCCACCCCTCTGACTGATAATCCATGTCCCTTATACTCTTAGTAAACTGAAAACTTAAATTCTCTACTTTAAAAGAGTAGATCTTTACTAAAAATAAATGCCTTCACTAAAAAGACAAAAATATTGAACCTTAAACAGTTTACTTCCATGATGTGAAAAAGATTATCGGTTCTCTATCATACCTTTCAAAGTATTAGTTTATTTAAAACCAAAAGTCTTTAAAAATCCCCAAACACTAGAAGCACCGCCTGTCCCCTGCTTTAGTAGGGTCAAAACTTTATTGCTTTTGTCTACAAGACTATCTGTAAAGACTTCAGCATAAACAATTTCAATATCTGAAAGTATCTGCCCATTTTTCACAGTGAAATGGAATGGAATTTCTCTCTCTTTTCCTCGTCTTCCCCAGTCTACCTTTTAGGGTATTTTCTATCAAACAGTTACCGTAAATGCCTTAAATTATATCCTCCTTACTAGTTAAGTGTCCCTTCAGTCACATAACAACTAACAATCAGAAACAGATCTCCTTCTAGGGGGGAAGCAAACAGTCAACACCTGTCACTATGCATCTATGAACTGTCAAGGAAAAAAAAAAATCCTGATTGGCCTTGTTTTTAAGGAACATTTCTGAAATACTGCCAACCTCAATCAGTTCTGTTTTACTGTCTGTAATACAAAGCCTCCCTTTAACAAATGTGAGGCTCTAACTCTAGTTTTACAGGCTGATGAAACAACTGGGAAATTGTGATCTGTTTATCAACACCAGATGGAAAGCTTTAAAACAGGATATCATGCTGCACGCTTAGGGCAAGGTCTTAGTAAAAATGATAAAGACATTAGTCATGTTTAACAGTTCACACAATTCTTTTAATGTGACTATCATTTTCTTTTAGTAAACCCTACTACCCAGTCTTATTTATTTATTTATTTATTACATTTACCTTCACAAACTTGACAACTACAGCAAATATAAACATTAATTTTGGTGTTAGGGGAATTTTATCCACAAAATTAAGGTAACCATATTTATTCCACATTTCTTCCTTATTATCATTGTCATTTCTTAGTTTGAAGTTCTTTAAAAATTCTAAAATACCAGAGGCACAAATGTCAGAGAAGGTCAGAATTTTTCTAAGTTGAATTCCAGGCTCCTAATTGCTCCAATTTTTGTCTTATTTCATAATTAGGTCAAACAAGTGCAAAATACATTTATAACACGCATATAACATCTATAGCTCTACACTAAATGCTAGTAAACAAAACAACTGCAAAAATATTACTGTTAAATAGACAGCATATAACAAAAATATCAAGATACAATGTAAGAAATTTGAAGCAATGGGTGAAATATATCTTAAATAAATACCAGAGACCAAAAGCAGCCATAAAAGCAAGCACACAAATAGGCTTTTTTTCCTTACCATCTGAATGAATATTTCCAAACCACAGCAGCATGAAAGGAGATAAAATTGTTTAACTGATGACTTTGCAACATGAACCAAACTTGAACAAATTCTGAAACTCTATTCAAAGTGAGTATAATTTTTCTATTTTAACAGAACCCTATATACAATGTGCCCACCCTAGTGAGGATACCCATTCCATTGCTGCCGAGCTGATTCCGACTCATAGCAACCATACAGGACAGAGCAGAACTGCCCCACAGGGTTTCCAAGGCTGTAATATTTATGGAAGTAGACTGCCATATCTTTCTTCTGCAGAACAGCTGGTGGGTTCAAACTGTCGACCTTCTTTAATGTGACAATCATTTTCTTTTAGTAAGAAAGAAAGAACTATCAGGCTTCTCTTAGTGAGGATCCCATTAGTGCATACATATTTATTATCCACTAGAGAAACCTGGAGCCTAGTGGCACAGTGGCTAAGAGCTTGGCTGCTCACCAAAAGACTGCCAGTTCGAATCTACCAGCCACTCCTTGGAAACCATATGGGGTCTGGTTTAGAGAAATCCAGGGAAAGAAGGATAGTAACCAGGATTATACCGAGTCAAAGTGTCATAAGAATTCTACATGCCTCCTGACCTTCTAACTAAACAGCTATCCAGTAATTTGCTCTGGTTTGAATAAGTAAATACTAAAATGATACAGCCAATGAGCAGAAATTAGAGAATGAGGTGAATGTAAAGTCAATCTATTTGCTGAGATTTGTGGAACAAAAACTCTGGTTAATGACCCTTTGAAAATATGTCAACATACCCTTCACTGTTAACTTCCACCAAAAAAAGGATTTATAAACATCAATAAAAATTGTAGAACAACCTACATGCACTTTACTTCTAACATTTGCTTCAATTAATCATGAAGGGACAGGGATTAAAAATTAGTTTCTGTAAAAGGGCATTAAAACTTGCATGGACCTCTGAAACTATTGCCCTGAGACAATCTTTTTTATTCCCCATACAAAAATTTATACATACATTGTTATGTGACCCT